TGGAATATTTTGTCATTTTCAAACCATTCTCTGTAAACCCTAGAGATGGTTGTGTGGGAAAATTCCAGTAGATGAGTAAGGATGAGTGAATAAACCAGCCTGTCTGGCACCAATAACCATACCACGTTCAAAGTCATTTTAATCACCTTTCTTCTCTGTTGTGATACTCGGTTTGAACTTCAGTAGGTTGTCTTGACTATGCCCGCATGCATAAATATTTTGAGCAGCTGTCATGTGATTGGCTGATTTGAAAAAAAAAAAAAAAAAACCAAACAAATCAGGTCAGTTTAAAGGTAAATACTTTGAGTCTGTGTTTTAGCGTCCAGTACCAGCATTTGACATTTGACAAATCAATTACCCAAATTATCTGAATCATCTGACTATTACTAATGCGCTGTTTTAACAGTTTTATTGTAGTGGGCAAACCCCACAAGAATCCGATGACCGAGGAAAGATAAATAGCAGGTCCAAATTTTTACAGCACTTGTAATAAATGTGACATTTATGCTGTGTACATGATTTCATCTGCAAAGGATTAGGACCCAATATTTCACAAAGAAATAATTGCACACCTCCCTCCCTCTCAACAAGTTGAGTGGTTTGTGCTTCACAGTATACGTAGATGAAACAAGACGCTGGCAGCAGGACAAGCATTTCCTGGCGAGCAATTCTCAGCATTGTTTATGATAAATGGTGAGTCGTGCGCAATGGTGGACCTAGATTATAATTCTGCCTTCTTTCCAAGTGGTGCTTGTGTTCGCAGCCTTGCTTTCTTTAGTGCTTAGAGAGTGCATGCTCGTGAAAGAAAGAAAGCAAGAAACACGCTGACTGACTGTACAGTATAAGGTCTTTATAAATGTTTGTCTGACTAGTGCTGGCGCAGTCAGTATTCCAGTAAATTGCCTCAGATGAAAGAAAATATTTTAAAACCAGCTAGAACACAGGCCCTATCACTTGCTATCGCTTTTAAAGTTTTAAAGCAACATAAATGCAGTCTGGCGAACTTTCTGGCAAACTTGCAGATTCTTTTACATTTAAGAGGAAGTAGGTGCCAAAGCAGAAGAAAAAAAGCCCAAAACAGAATGTGGCAATACCGGTTTGTTTGGGACTGGCCATCTGGTTTGTTTTGGCCCATGTTTCAGAGCAGCAATGAGTGATTATCATACCACAACTATTTTTCGAGAACATATCTATTTATAGAGATCTGCATGTCTCCTTAGCAGTATGAAACTGAGTTGAAAACAGCCTGGATTGGCTGGGGATGCCCTTTGCCTGCTGCTGTGTGACAAAAACAACAGTTTTTACATAAAAATGTAAGAAATCACTGTTAAATCATGTGTGAAAAAAAGCAAACGGAATTAGGGTGTTAAAAAATAAATGCTTTTGTTTGTGTAAAAATGAGTGTGAATGAAATGCATGTAAATGTGTAGGATGGTGTTTAGCTTTTGAACACTTTCATAAAGTTCTTACTTTTACAATAAAGTACATATTGATCAATACGTTTGGCCTGCACTTCACATATCTGTGAACCGCAGCCAAGAAATAAAGACCGAAAGCAACAAGGGATGGAGTTTCATTCGGCCCTCACATTTTGAGTGCTCAAAACTTCAACTCATAACAAAAAAAAGACAACTTGATCTCTTCCGCCTAAATGAAATCCATTCTCCAGACCCTTAGAGAAAACACACAGCCCACTCCAGGTACAAGCTTCTCAACACAGAAAATTTGTAAAGTGAAACCCCTGTCGTCGCAGGACTATTCTGAAAATTAGATATGGCAAAAGGCCTACCGGCCTTGCTGCTGCAGCGAAACGCTTGAAGCCTGTATTCTTTGATGGAGCTCTGGACCGATTGTGGTAAAGGCTTTCAACCACAGAATCTTGTTCCTTAGTTCATCATTCAAAGATGAACAAAAGTCACTTTGAAACTAAAAGGACTTCTTATCACAGAGAACCAGCCATCCAGTGAATTGGAGATGTCAGACCTTCGCCTATGAAGCCAGCAATTGCTTGGAGCTCTGGAATTTGCATCAGTTTTCCACATCTAAGTGGGCCAAGCATCTGCCATAGTTTGAGGCCTGTTATCATTAACCCCCTCAAAAGAAAACAGAAACCTTTGCCCTGCAACACGCAAGGACAAAGCATCCATCAAATCAAAGTACAGTTTGCAATGAAGAGACGATGACAAGCAATACATTTGGGCTGGAAGGAATTTGCTAAGAGACAAACCTGACCACAGACTTATATAACAGGAAAGACATGATTGAGGTGTCTGGAAAGCTCGGTTACAATTCATGGTTATAATCTTAACACTTTTGAACATTTTTTCTTACCGCTAAAGTATAATTTTCCGGTCTAATTTTTTTTTCCTTGCTTCATTTCAGATATATGCTATAGATACAGTCTTAGAATGTCCAGACGTGCAATGATGTAGGCACGAAAAGGTGAAGAGAACACCAAATCTTTGTCCACACCCTGAGAAGTCCGTGGCTCAGGAGGCAGGTTGATCCCAGACTTCTTCAGCCTGCAAGTCTAAGTACCCTTGGGCAAAATCCCGAACGCACATTAAACACCCCATTGTCTTGTGTGATAGTTGAGTTCTGAAAGCACTTTACTGTTTACACAACAGCCGTTTCAATCATTCATTTCACGGCTGTCTGATGGAACAAATATACTTCGCTCTTAATCAATTCTGTCCACACAGGCTGTGTAATAGCTTTCATTTGACTCACTCTGTGTATGTAACCGTGACTCAAAACATATTTTTATGCTTTAAGACTGTTTGCTTCCATATTACGTGAATAATTTTGATTGTTTGTTGGGCTTTGAACACTGCCAAAACTTGACTGACACTCTGCTGTGTTTGGACTGAACTGTGTCAACATTGTGTAAAAGCCTAGAACTATGGCAGGCTTTGAAGCTGTAATGAGACACAGCAGTGCATTGGGCAAAGCGCTAGTGGCATCATGCTAACACGTGAACAGTGACAAAGCTAACAGGCTAATCTTCACCATGCTGGCATACTAATATTTGCTAATTGCTACTAAACACGAAGTACGAGTGTTTGGAATAGCATTGGTTCTGGTGGTATTTGTTCTAAGCTAAAGAGTTGGCCTGAGAGTGTTGCCACACTGAAGGTGAAGTGTGTGTGAAGAGAGATTTTAATGTTAAACTGCCTTTTAGCTGACAGTCACGCTAATAAGGCCGGGCCGCTAATCATGCGCAGTTCTAACATCACTCGGGCTTCATTCATTAGCTTTGTGTTAGCATTCTCCCTTTAAATAAGCTACATTTGATGTCAAGGCAACAAGACATCAAGACAAGATGTTTCTTTTTGTCTTGATGTCTATAAACACTTTAGTGATCAGTTTATGCCTTCGATCACTCGTTTTGTGTCATATTCAGTAAAACATGAAGTCTATTTTGCAAATTGTAGTCATACCATGCGATTCAAAGTCAAACAACCCTCCTTGTCTCATGCGTTTGTTTGCAACCAAGATGGCAATTGCAGAAACTTTCCACTTGAGTCTTCAATATGGGACTTCAGAAACCAGTAGGTAACCTCACAGAAGCTTCGACCATCTTTTAAAGAGCTTATGGTGCAGATGTTAGCACAGACTGAGTGTTGTGTTGCAGTATAATACAGTTGTTTCTGTTTTGGATGCAATTTGCACTTTACCATCATGCTATGTCCTTTTGTGCAATAAAATATGACTACAATAATGTGTTACTTTGTAGCTGGCTACATCCAACACTGGTAACATGGCAATAATAAGCAAATACTGGCCTGAAAACACAACAATCCCCCACTTTGTCTGCTATTACCTGTAGTTTTGCTTCTCACTGCCTATTTGGAAGCGATCGTACAGTGAAAAGGCTTGGAGCCCGTCCCAGTCGGTCAGCTCTACACGGAGGGCATACTGCCTCTGGTTTGTCAGCTGGTAAACGTACTCATTTCCCAACCAATGCTCTGCAGACAGGGTCCCAAAACCCTGCAATGGAAAAGAAAAATTCAATAATCAGCATGTAAATACCACTGACAATACTTTTTGTAAAGCATAAACTTGAGATTATTCATTGCTCATCTCATCACTTTTCCCTTGGATGATAACATCTTCACACTAGAGGATTATGGCATGAATGGGAAGGAATTTTCTAATTTACTTTTTCCTTTTTATCAATCAGCAATTAGATCAGAACAAACCGTCTCTGATAATAAATGCTGTGGTTGTTTATCCACCAGCAGAAATGTTCTTGTACTGCTGTAGCATCCTACCCCAAATAGATAAGACTTCCATTACATATTAGACATATTTACATGTTTCTTGAGCATGCTTTTGGCCCAGTCTTTAACTTGGATGGACTTACCTATCTATAAAATTACAAAAATCGATACCAGCTGAATTAGAAGCACACCTTTTTTCCATTTCTGTCTTCCACTAAAGTCACACATGTTTAAGTCATTATTACTTAAAGAATTCGTTCCCAAAACATACACCGCATGCACGGACACTCCTTCAAACAAACTCCAAAGTTTGTATTTGATCACAGTGGCTCCCGGTCACAGGCAAAGTGCTTCTGACAGCAGCGAGAGCAGTGGATTACAGAGGGGGGAATATCACTAAGCAAGATGACATTACAGGTCTGACAGGACAGTCAAGGCTGCTCCGTTAAAGATTGTAAAACAGAGGGGCTGAAATTGTCAAAGCGGTAAAGTCAGAAAGAAGTTGTGTTTGTGCTCTGAGTGTGTAGTGACAAAGAATAGCAACGAGGGAACACAAATACGGGGCATTCCTATGGCCTTAGCCATGTCCTGCTGAGTGGGTGGAAGAGAAAAAGGCTGGGGCCCATTACCACTTTTTCTCTTTTTCTCTCTGTCGCTACAATTGATCTTGCTCCTGATGAGATGTTCCCACCTAAAAGGCTTTAAGTTTGATCCAATGCCTCCTACTGTGACCACAGTTTATCTCAAAAATTCTTGCTTGGAAGAGGCTGCATGTGGGGATCTTTTGACAGTTTTCCCTCATATAATTCTGAAGCTCTGTGATTCTTCACACGCAAACCTGATCTACATCACTCAACCCACAAAAAGATGAGGAGATGGTTAGTCATATTGTTGGACTGAGCGCTCGGTTTGCATGTCAGTTACACTTTCAAAATGTCCTGATAAAAAGGAAATGTGTATGTTGAGCACTCATATCTCATATGTAGATCTCATATCTCTTACTGACTTACTTGTTCCCAACCTTTGTTTTTTTTTGGTTGTCAGGGGAGCTTTAGTCATTTATTAGCACCACCCATCCTATCACTTATACACCACACAGCCAAAAAAAAAAAAAAAATCACACACTAATATTTTATTGGACCGCCTTTAGCTTTGATGACGGCACCATGGCGATCCTTCAATAAACTTATACAAATTCATTTTTTTGCCCAGATCTTGTCCCGATGATGGGAGGGTTGAACATCCAAATGAAGTCTTCTCCAGCACATCCCAAAGCTTCTCAGTGGGGTTAAAATCTGGACTGTGGAGGCCAATCCATGTGTGAAAATGATGTCTCATGCTCCTTGAGCCATACTTTCACCGTTTGATCCTGATGAAGCGTGGCGTTGTCATGTCGGAATAAGCCGGTGCCATCAACGAAAGAAAAAAAAAATCAGCTGATGGGAACACCTGGTCATTCAATATATTCAAGTAGACAGCTGACTGTATTATCTGGGAACATAACATTGATGAACCTAGACCCGGCCAAATAAAGAAACCGCAGATCGCAACACTGCCTCTGCAGGCTCGTTTGTAGGCACCAACATTTATCTGCCGCAAGACTCTCCGAAAGTTGATTCTATTCATCTGGACTCAGCGTTTTCTGTGGAAGAAACGTTTCATCACTCCTCCAAGTGACTTCTTCAGTCTAAGCTGACTGCAGGTTTCCCTAATCTTATAAACCGTACATTTGTATAAGATTCTAAGATTATAACTTTGGGGAAACCTGCAGTCATCTAAGACTGAAGAACTTACCTGGATGATTGAGCATGCATCAAGATGTAAATCTAGACTCAGACCATATGATCTTTTTCCATTGCTCCAGAGTCAAATCTTTATGCCTTGTAGCAACTTAGAGCCTTTTTTTATTAGCCTCACAGATAAGTGATATTCCTAAGGTTACATAGTTTTTTTGTTCCAATTCCTTGACTTCTCTTCACATCGTCTGTGTGGAAATGCTCCCAGTTTCACTGCTAAACATACTGTTGATTATTTTACTATTTGATTTCACCACTCCAATCATACAAGACTTTTTTTCCAACTACATTTCTTTCTCATTCCAGATTTGAATAACATGTTGGGCAGTTCCAAACCCGATTCGCTTCAATAATCTCCTCAGTTGTTTTCGTTGATTGAAGCAGGCCAATAACTTGATCCTTCTGAAATGGCCTTTCGCATCAGTTAGGATTAAATAATCTGTTGCCAGCCAAAACAATTAATATCTGAAGTTATTGTGCAATAGGAAGGCTCTTAACTATTTGCTTAGTTAAATCCAGGGTTTTAAAGTCATGTAGTGTATGCACATTGATGGGTATTTTTAAAGGTTTTTTTTGTTTCAAATGTTTATCTACAGCTTTTATATTAATATATATATATATATATATATATTATATATCATATAACGTATATATATATATCATATATATATATATATATATATACACACACATATATAATATACAGACACATATATAAATACACATATATAGTATATATAAATATATATATATACACAACATATATAATATATATATATACTATATATATAAACTATATATATAATATACACGTATATATATATACACACACGATATATATATACATATATATAAACACACACGTATATATATATATATATATATATATACAAATAATAATATATATATACATGTATATACTACTACTACTACACACGTATATATATATATATATATACACCCAATATATATAATCATATATATATATATATAATACATATACATATATATACACTATATATCATATACATATATATATAATATACATATTATATACACATATATACAATATAATCATAATATAATATATATATCATATACACATATATATATATATATACACACATATATATATATATATCACTATAATGATATACACATATATATATTATACATATGATAATATATATATATATGATATATCATATATATATATATATATATATATATATAATATCACATATATATATATATATATATATACATGACAATATATATAATATATCACATATATATATATACATATATAATATATACATATATATATATATATATATACATATATATATATATACATATATATATATATATATACATATATATATATATATATATATATATATATATATATAAACATACATATATATATATAACACATACATATATAATATATATATAACACATACATATACACACATATATACACACAAATACACATCATATATATACCACATCATATATATCACATACACATATATATATCACACTATACACATATATATATCACACTATAAATATATATATACATTCTTATTATCTACACACTATACACACACATACATACTATAGTTTGCATTAGCTGAAGGTCCAAGGAGTCAGTTTTCAAGTACTATCTAGTACTACAACAAACACATTTTAAATGCTTGCTTTCTTGCTGACATTAATCCCTTTTAAACGCATGGCATGATATTAATACATTAGAAGTGACTCAGACTGATGGGCAGCTGAGCAGTTACTGTAAATAAAGGTGTTACCTGATAATGCACTTACATGCATGATCTTCAGATCATATTTTAATGCACACGCCACATTCCTCTGTGGTCTCACAAAGAAACTGAGTCTGAGGTTTGGCTGAAATATTAACAGATCCTCTAAATACAATAAATGTGTAAGTACAAGACTTGGGAGACCAAGAATGTGAAAATTAATAACACAATAAAACACTTGTTGATGACTTCTAAACTTTTCAAGGAGACTCTAAGCTGTTAATTAGCCGCGTAAATGTCAGCCAAGTCCTGCGAATGCACTCCGTGCACTCCCTCTGTGCACCTGTTCAAGGCAGGAAGGTTTCCACTGGTTTTTTTTTATTTTTTTTTTTTATCATTTTATATCTTTCTGTTACCGTTTACGCTGCTGACCTTTCACCTTTTTATTTTACCTCAAAAGAGTGAGATTGAGGTCGCTTTGAATGAGAGATTTCTGTCTTATTCCAATATTGCTTTGTTGATTTTTGTTCAGGCTCTTTCAATAAAAACGCCAACATGAAGATTTCTCATTGAAAAACTGCTGTGGGTTTATATCTGGTCCAGTGTGCAAATTCTCTGCTTTGTAATTCCCCAAATGGCTTTATCTTTTCCCACTTACTGATAAATTGTACAACAAGAGCAGCTGAGAGGTAAAAACTCAAGTAGAAACAGATTATACGGGGAAAGAGGAAACATTAACTGAAAGCAAGTGCAAGGTATACACAGGCAGCTACTATAGCAAACACTAGCAATTCAACAGGCAGAAAAAATAAATCCAAGTTACCATCTAAACACAGCCTAGGTAGGAAATGTTAACACCCTCAATGCAAATATGCACAGCTTTATCCTTGATGACAAACACCTGGCCCAGCTCGACTGAGACTAAACAAATGCTTTGTTTTCAGATTTAGGTAGTAATTTCCTGTTGGAGAAGAGGAAGAATAACAGCAGTGAAGCCTCGGCTAAGGAGCAGTGCAAGTCTCAGACACCCTAGACAATTTTGCTAATACAAAAACGACAGGGGAGATATTGCCGAAGAGGAATGACATCTGGCCGAAGCGTTCCAAATGGTCTTGGATCAGTGCATCCCGACTCTCATGTTTTCATCATGTTCAGTAAAGGCCAAAGTGTGCACGATATTTTTCATCATCACACAGTGGAAGTGTATTTTTTTGAAACAGGAGGTCTCGCTCATCGTACGGTTTCGTAATTTATGCTTAATGGATACAGATGAGCGCGCTCACTCAGTTTCTGGGTGTGTATTCACTTACTGTCTCGTGTTTAAAGAACAAACATTATCCTCTCGTTTTTAATGGATATGAATGAGTGCATGGATGGAGAAGTGCGTGCACGTATTTGTCTTGTCTCACCATCTTGTACTCCTTCCACGTTCTCTGGAAGTCCACGCTGCCATCTTCTCTGCGCTGGATGACTGTCCATCCGCCGCCGGCTGTTTCCATTCTGCAGTAGACCTATGCAATGTTAAAAGGACAGAAAGGGAGGGTTGGAAAGTACTGTGTATGAAGGTGATAGAACACTAATAACACCCATAGGTCTCTGCATAGCCTGAAGATGTAACGTAACTACCAAACTAATGAATTCAACATTCAACATTTCAACTCTCAGCGGCATTTACAAACAGAGCAGGGTCACTTGGACAATTATTTGGTTCTAGACACTCCTTTCTCTTGCTTTCTCGATGAATCATCTTTGGGAATGCAATGTATCTAGGTCCTCTTCAAACTCAATCAGCGTCTCCTTATCCCTCAAAAGCTCCCTCGAGATGTTCCTCATCAGTGGTCCTTGTTTCTGCAAAATCAAAGCGGAGGTCCAGGATGGACACATACCAGCAGACACCTGGGTGTAATGTGGCCCTTAACCCTTAACCTCAGTGTGTGTAAGCTGATAATGCAGTACTGGCACTCTATCTGCAGTGTTACTCTTTGTTTTGAGGCGGATACCCCGGGGTTTAGCGGAGAAGGTCTTTCACCTCAGCCAGACCACACAGCTGAACACACATGAACAAAGCCTGGGTATAATTAAAGCGGTAGCCCAGACAGAACCCTTCTTTTTAAGACTAGCTCTTCATGCATGCCAAACACACACACACACATGCTATGACCATCCACTTTACAACCATCGCTAAAAGTATAGAATAGTATAAAATAATGTTTTTTTTAATTAACTTAAAGTTTTTATGCATAGCAAGTAACACACACATAATAATTTTCAGTGCTGACATGAACAACCCAGGCTAAAGACAGGTAGGCTAGCTATATTTCCTCAGCAGCTAGTATTCCTATATAGCTCATTCTAAAAAGACAACTGTCTCGCCCTGTGGCAGCTGGGATAAGATCCAGCCCCGCTGCGACCCTGAACTGGATAAGCGGAAGGAAATGGATTGATAGATGTAAAAAAAAAACAGACTTTTCAAACTTGGTTTGTTTGAACAAAATTAGCAGATCTCTCAGTAATACACCATGGAAGTTGACAGGACATCTTCCAGCCAAAAAGACGTCAGACGCTTCTATGGGAGCTATCCACCCAGAGGCTTGAAGCTTAGATAGCCTACTGTTTAACAAATATCCTCCATAGTTTCCTCATCTTTCGTGGAGACTGGAATAATAAACAACAGCTCAAGTAACATTATACATTAAAATGCTGTGTGAATTTAAATTTCAAAAGGAGATTAGCCAAACAGCTATGAACAGAAATTCGCACACAAACTCCCTAAGTCATGAAATCATCGCTCTCATCAATCAGAGAACGTAGCCAAGTTGGCCAAGGGCTCGCTCAAAGGGAAAAGCTGGGTTTCTCTCTTAGATTAGTTATATTTGGTGCCATAACAGGTAAATAAACTTCAGTTAAATTCAATAGCGTAGATGTGAAATACATACACACACATACCTTTGTCACCATGCTCAGCAGTGTGGTGTCCTGTTTCGCACCTAACCTCCCTAGTAAACTCCTGAACTCTCAGAGCTGCCAAATGTATTTTTAGCTTTCAATATTTCCGCAGCAGCTAGCACTCATCATTGACACTCATCATTGGCTAATATCCCACGGGTTGGTTTTAGCTCATGCAGAGAAAGCGGAGTCCAATATTTTTAAAAAACCAAGTCAAACCCTGTAAATTCCCTATAAAAATGCTCCTCAGAGGTGACGAAAGCTGAGATATTTTCACATTACAGAGAAATGCTGGCTGCATGATATCACGGCTTCCCACCTTTTTGGTCTCCTGTGCATTAACGTGGATGGTGTAGACGCCATTCTTATGGAAACCAGCCTGGTACAGGTCGGCACAGTCCCGAAACCTCTTCTCTTCTTCCATGACCTTTGTACTGTTAGGAACAACTGCAGATACACAAGAAATTCGTCATGTTTTTGTCTGCATAACCTCAATGAGTGAAAATTCTCTGGAAAACACTAGGTTACGTTATATTTGACTGAAGTTTACAATTAAAGCCATTTGTTTAACATATGTGGTGTTCAAAAGTTGAAAAATAAAATCTCAAAACCTCCAAAACTCGACAATTCTCTTACTTGCTTAATGAGGAAAACAAAGAAATTTGGAAATGACAGGACTGCTGGATGTGAAAAATGAACGACTTCCTGCCTGGTTGTGTGACAGGTTAAGGAAGTCTTATATGAGCTGTGGAGTGAGCTTGGACAGTTGTTTCCACATGCTTCCCATTTTTACACTGAGCTCACTCCAGCTCCATAAAAATGCACAAACATGAGTTTACTTATCTTCTAATCTCACTCCATGCAGTAAAAAAATATTAACTAATCCTTCTTGAAGTCTCAAACAATTAAAACACATTTTTATATCACTTGAACGCCACAAAATGTGCAACCTCTTGTATCTTAAAAGTAGAGTTTAATAAGAATCACAAATTGGCACCAAACCCATAGCTGATCAATCTGCAATATTTCAGATCTACATATTTCACAGGGGGAAGAAAAAAGATAATAAAATTCTCACTGCGAGTGTAACCACCAGATCAACTTTTAGAGCAACCAATTCATTTGCAGCACAGAGGTGATCATTGCTGGATATTTTCACACTCTGAGAGAAGGCTTTAGACTGTGACAGACCAGCTGCATCCATTTCCATCTGCTGATAATTATGGCAGCGTTATTTTGAAACCAAGCAAGGGGGTAAGGACAAAATACTACAAGCTATAAATTTCAAGTTCCTGTTATAACAAGTGGTTTTTATTTACTTTCCAAGCCATGCTATATTGGTGGAAATACCTTCCGATTCTCTCTCCTCGCTGTCCCTGCCTTTCGCTTCTCATAGAAGGGGTTGGTCTCAGTTTTCACACCACTGTTTTTTTATTGTTGAAACGGTTGAGTCAAAGAAAATGTCAGGCAAAAGTGAAATGTGTCAGTGATCCTTTGATCCGCCCCACCCCCTCTCCTGGATGCAGAACTTCTCAGCAGAAGCAGGCTGCTTAGTTGGGCGTAGTATTGGAACATTTTGACAAGGTATTGAGTGTCGGCAACAAGAATCCCCCGCTGTGACAGGTTGACGGAGTGGACCCTTGCTCTGCAGACTCTAATACAACAAAGAACGGCCCTGTCGGGTGGTAATTGACCCCAAGCTGGCAGACAGCAGGACACATTTTAGAGGCCTGAAAGATCACTGTCAGAGGGGAGCTTTCTGGTATTCAATCTGTAACAGCGTGGACAATTATTTCACAATTGCCTTTGACATCTACCCTGGTGGAAGAAGACTGTCTGCTGAGGCGACCGGACCCTCCAGCTTCATAGCGGCTCCCTTGAACAGCTTGCTGCCCAGCTTTACAAATATTATTTATGTCCCAATATTTATTTACCAAAAAATATTTTGTGGTTCAGCTGGGACTCGTATTCAGCAGGGGGTTCATGTGAAAAGACCAGCAGGGCTTGGGTGTTTGCATAAATCAGGATCCTTGCCAAATGAGCCCAAATACTTGAACTAGGAAGGTTGAATAAAGGAGCTAAATGGACTACCACAGAAATCCCTGCTCCCATGCGACTATAATCAGTCCTCAGTGCCATTGAGAGTTAAAGTGATTGCAAGCAAATTTCTTTATTTTGCGTACTTGCAGATCAAGCATGAAACACACAAAAAACGATGCCAAGTCCTTCCCACAACACATTTACTGTAATGCAGTGATGATTAATAATTGCCCTTGTGATTGATTACAACATGATTTACTTTTGTCCTATTTTTGGATCTCAGAAATCGCATAGCAAAGTATTAAAATCCTATCCCTTCCCTTTGCCAGATACTTGTCAAGTTGATGAACACGATGCTATTTATATTCAAGGTCAACTAGACTCAAGCTGGGTCTCTAATGAATGAATGCAAGTAACAGAAATCTTAACAGACTTCAAAGAGAAATTGGAAGCAAGGTACTGTATAAAATTACTAGAGCATGTGTGCCCAGGACAGTGTAGAAAAATCATTTAAAATAAATCATTAAATATAAAAAAAAGAACTGACAATGTAACGGGGTAAAACGGTCTACAGAATGTCAAGCAGGGAATTGAGGGTAATATATAAGGAGGGTCACTGGTATCGTGAAAATGTTTTGGGTTCTCTCACTTTTATATCAACTATATCTCTTGAAAAAGTACACATAACACGTACACGTGATTTGCTTTTGGATATACCTTCCATAGAAGGTATACTACATGCAAACCATGTTTTAGCGATACTCAACTCTTTATACTCAACATTCCTATCAACATTTACATGATTTGCCAAATTTTCGCCACCAATAGCTAAATCATTCTTTTACTTTGATGTTTTTTATGTTTGGGCTTCAAACGCCATTTGGTTGATGCTTGTAAAAGGGTTAGAAGTCAGACTTTTTCTCTCTCGTTAACTAGAACAAGTTAACGAGAGAGAAAAAGTCTGACTTCTAAACTAAAGCCATTCTCCCTTCTCTAACCTGAACCAAGTGTTACCGCAACCTAAATCATTGGAGGAAAACGCCACAAACCCAAGTCTCTGGTGCCAAACAAAGTTCATGGACTGGAAAGCGGCTTTGTTTTGAAATATTTACCATGTACCAAATACTTTTCTTTTCGTGACACAATTCTTTATGCAAGGCCTCTAGTGGGGACATGTGCCGTCTATGTAATCTTTTTAGTTTTATTATGTAGAACAATTTAGAATGCTCGCTAATTGTAATTTGTAGCTTAAATGTATAAAATTGCAAACTTTAGCTTAATAAATATCAGAATAAAATATGCAGTTTTACCCTTATACGTACAACAACAGCGTGTTTGATCGCTACAAAGAAATTAAATATTTCGGTTGCACCCTTAGAAAATGCAGCAGAGTTATCCCTACTTTTGGATAGGTTATTCAGGTGGATGGAAATAACTGCACACACTTTACAACCAGCCAGTGAAGCATGAAAACAATCGCGTGCAGCAAATTTGGTCTGGAGCGTCTTAACGAAGTGGTTTACCATGCTCTTTTTTTTAGGACATTACACAGAGAAAAGGCCATGTTTTTTAGGCATTGCATGGAACCTTAAAATAATTATATTCTGACTAAGCAGCTGTAAAAATGATGAATGTCATTCATTTAGTTGGATAATAGAACACTGTAAAACAAAATCACATTTAGCAGCCAGATTTTTTTTTTAGCACAGTGTTCCAAAGCTGAGGTCAGGTATTGTTCATAACAATGTGTGGCTCAGTGCTCTCTAATGAGGTTCGAGTAATGATTGCAACCAATATAAGAAATCCACTGCAGCATCTGGTCATTCTGAAAATATCTCCCTGGCCTCACTTTGCATAGCAACAGCTGAAACACACACTGGAAACTTCAATTTTAGGAAAAGCAATCGATGGACAGCTGGTGGGAAAGCGTCTTTTTTTAAATTTAGGGCTTTTTGTAAGCATCTGTCAGTTTCCCCGCACTCAAAGATGATTTGAGGCCACGTTTTAAAGGAAGTGCTCAGGCTCCATTTCCAAACAAAAAGTTATTAACGCAAGCAGACGCCCCCCGATGGCATAAAATGCTAAATCTTCACTCGAATGAAAACACTCATTTGTTTCTCAAACAAACTAAAGCCCCCCCCCTGAACATAGAAAAACAAAGCTCTGCTTCTTCTGTGCTTTAAATGCTGCTGAAAAGCAGGCACGGTGCATCAGATGACCAGTGAGCTCTACCAACTCCTTCACCTTCTTCAGACAGGGCTTCCCCCAGGAGCTATTACAGTTTGACTTATCTGGGCTGGGGTGAGGAAAGGGCAGACCTCTGACCTGCATGCCCGCCCCAACCTTCAACACCCCCTTGGAAGAGGAAAGGACCAACCACAGAGCAGCAGTGGCCACGTTCCATTTCTATCCCCTCTTATTAGGGTAGCCACCAATCATGGGCTGGGGGATGGGCTGGGATACCCTGCTCACCTAACCAACTCTAAAAATGCCACACATGGTACTGAGTTATATGCTATAAAATAATGATTACCACAGAATTTAATCAATGTTGTTAAATTACAACAACAACAGCAAAACAGAGATCTACAAGTCTCACATCAAGACACGCATCTTAATATAAGGAATGTGCAGATGATCCATATGGCCCAGGCAGGCCAAAAGGGTCCCAAAAGACCTCCGGTAATTAAATGTAATATATACAAATCCAGACTAAGCATAGAGGCAGTCCGTGACCTTTTTCTGCATGGAACATTAAAATTACAAAAGTCAGCAGCATGATAAATACAAAACATGTGTTAATCATGTGCAGCAGCTATCCACTCATGACTCCTTCATCCTTTCAAGCCCTTGTTGTTTCCTGTCTGATGGGAAACGTCGAGAAGCACTGTGGGGTCTCGAGGCGTCTCTGCAGGAAATCCACAAATGGAAATGAGGTTACAACCATCCCCCCTGACACGGACTTGCATGTCAAATCTCCTGTGACCAAAGGGATTTTGGGCAAATGTTAGGATCAAGTAGGTTTTAATGTTTAAATGCCTGAGAAGGGGGTAAATGAGTTCACTGCGTTTAACCGAACAAGAAAGGTTGCATTGCTGTCGGGTCAAACATTAGGCCAAAAGGGAAATCCCTAGTCTCGTATTAACAGTGAGGGACCCAGAGGAATGAAATAAGCCAATTACTTCATGGACAGAGTCGTGTCTAACATCTCGCTGAAGCCGTGTACACGGACTTTATAAAATTAAAGCGTGAAAAGCGATTGTTGTGAAAAGTGCACCACGCTGGTTTACGAGAGTCACTAAATTGCTCTAATGGGAGCACATCGGGTTACAATAAGAAGCATGTTTCTTTCTTCATGCTGCTTTCAATGGTGCTCGGCATTATAGCTAGTGCATCCCTGTGTCTCTCTGCATGGGGTAAGGTTTGTAGAACTGGTTTCATCATAATATCGCATGGATTGTCAAATCAAAGCTATTGTAACAGAAAGATCTGACCAGAGGAACTAAGTAATCCAAAACAGCTTGCTGCCTCACGGGTCAAACTTAACATAGCCAATCCACAAACTTTGCTTTTCACATTGTGGTTTGGCAAAGGTCAATAAGCATCTTCTTGCGTTGGGGTCATCGGTGATGGGGGTAGAAAACATTTAGAGCAGTGCATGTCCGACCAATGGATGATTGACAAGTCTTAAAGAAACATAAATATAAACTTTTCTTCCCCATTATAGTCCAAGCCGGTGAATTCTGGACGGTCTTGATTTTTGCTTTAGGGTGAAACAAGAGTAAGAATTTAAAGTTAAGCAAGTATCTATTTGAGGCTGTATTTACACACAGCAGTGGGTTGCCAGTCACAGGATCTCCCTGTACAACTCCTCCATCCTATTCACAGTACACAGTGCAATACTTACACCCTTTTGCACATTCTCTACTGTGAAAACAAATAACAAAGTTTACAGTTTAGGGTAAAATGTCAATCATATATATTTAATCTCTGTAATATTCTGCATATTTATAGTTGAGCTGTTTGTATATATGTTAGAGCTATTTCTTACATTTTGTAACTTTATAATATATTGTATTATTTGATTTAATTCAGTTTGCTACTGTCCTTATTGTCTTATAATAATAATAATAATAATAATACTACATTTTATTTATAGGCGCCTTTAAGACCCTCAAGGTCACTTTACAATAGCATAGAACAGAAGCAACAATAAAATATAATAAAACAAAGCAAAATAAAATTTAAACATAAGGTAAAAAAAAAAAAAACAAGCATGAAGATATAAAATCAAGTATAAAAGCTGAGCACGGTAAAAATGGACTAAGACAGATCAGGTGTATGCAATTCTGAATAGATGGGTTTTGAGATGCGATTTAAAAGTGGTGAGACTACTAAAGGCTCTGAGTGTCATGGTAGTCAGAGCTGAAGAAGAGCGAAGTGAGTATATATGGAGAAGATCAGATGAATATGGAGGAGCGAGGTTATGAAGCGCTTTAAAAGTAAGAAGCAGGATCTTGAAATTGACACGGAGGTGAACTGGAAGCCAATGGAGCTGTTTAAGAACATGTTATATGTTCAGTGGATCTAATTCTGGATACAATATGAGCAGATGTATTTTGAACTAACTGCAATTTATGGAGAGATTTATGAGGTAGACCATAAAGAAGAGAATTACAGTAATCTAAACGAGATGTGACAATAGCATTGACAAGTATGGTAGTTCTGTTTGGAGTGAGTGAAGTCAAAGGCGGTTAATATTAAGGAGAATAGGAAGACCGAGTGATATTATTTATATGTGCTGTGAAGGAAAGAGTGCTATCGAGGATGACACCAAGACTCTTGACCTGAGGGGAGGGTGTGACAACAGAATTATCAATGGATAATGAAAAACTTCTTGTTGGGACTTTAGTCAGTTTTGATTTGGTGCCTGTTAAAATGAATTCTGTTTCATTGCTATTAGGTTTAAGAAGTTGGAGCAACTGTAACCACATAATTTGGTTAGGGATGACTAAAAAGTATTTCTCAAAGGTTTTTGCTCTCAGAATTCTTGACTTGTCTTCATTTACTTCTTTGGCACCACAGACCTCTCCTGTGTTGTCTGTTGTATCTTATATATATAGCACCATGGTTATGGAGGAACGCTGTCTCGCTTCATTGTGTACGGTACCATTGCACATGCTTGAAATGACAATAAACCCGCTTGACTTCACTAGACATCAAAGGATATGCTTTTCCAAGATGGCTGTTGTGTAAAACAATATTTATGCTTTGAAACATTCCAAACTTTTACACATTTATGACTCCAGTTTGCTTACCTCCATCTTTAGAGCAGAGGTTGAGCAGGTTGTGGACAGTGTCCATCATCTCCTGCTGCTGTCTCTGCAGTGCCGTGCTGTTTCCTGTGGCCCGGCTCAGCTGGGCTTCCAGCTCTCTGATAACGCCGCTCTGCCTTCCCACGAGGTTTTGGAGACTTCCCTTTTCCTGCTTCAGTGTCTCTAACTCCTCACGGTGTCTCATCTCCATCTCTAACATCTTCTCCTCTAGGAAGCTGAGGGGAAAAGCAAAACGAAAGAGTTTATTATGGAACATGGTGAAGTTGTTAATTATTATTTCCTTCCAGGTCATCCAACGTCTCTGGAATTGCATTTGTTTTCACAGGATTTAAACTGATCCACAGTTGTTTGGCAGTTTATGCTTTAATCCTGCCTCTGATTTACTAGTTATGCAATACATATCAGTTTCATTTATTTGCAATTATGAGCAGGGATCAGGTGATTAAAACATATTTATTTAAATTTCTTCATATTTGACTTTTGGTTCCCACTGCACCGCCTATGACAGACACCCAAAGTAATTATAATCAACATGTGGCAATACTCCCCTCACTATCTCCCATGAGGTGATTAGAGAACTCCAATTCAGGAACTTTCCCTGACTAAAATACAAACAATGATGTCTGTAGGGTTAGTTGCCATGTTTTCCTCACACAGTATAAACATGTGCTTCATTGTTCACTTTGCAGGCCCATTTGAGGTAAGTGAATACGCTATTACGGCATCTGAGCTTTACAATCTAATACCTCAAAGATGATAGAAGCTGACATCAAATTCATAATCATATCCTCCCTGTAGTTATAAGATCGGTAAAGGAAATACATATGAGATTGAATAATGTCATAATTGCTTAAGCTTAGGAAAATTGCTCTCGGAAATCTATGTCCATAAGCTTCAAGCATAACTGAAGTCTGATTCACCAGAAACTATGCTTTCAAATGGCGATCTTTTTTTTTTTTTTAAGTGATTGTCTCAGTCTCTGCAGATATCGCAGTGAGACCTATGGACTGAAAAACTACATCATGTAACACAATCCCGCAGGACTAATCAGTGTAAAGAACATGGTTTAGAGTTATGAAAACATATCCAACAGCAATATTTTAATTGCTTGATTTTGCAACAAATACAAAGTGGTCCAAAACGGAAAGCGAGGCTTCGTGGGGTTTAGTGGGATCTACTGAGCACGAAGAGAGTATGTGCTTCTTATCATTGCTGCTGTTTACATAACTAAATATTATTTTGGAAAATCTGCTAACAATGTCAGAGAGCGCTGGTAGTAAGCTTTTGATTTTGTTTATGCAATCATGCAGCAAACAGCAGCAGCGAGTGAAAAATGTTTAGTAAATTTGCTGGCCTTTCGCCCATCGATACATCATCTTTATTACCTCCGGTTTATCTTCGGTTGCCAGTCTGTATTGTGTATTGTGTGTTTACCTGTTCTTGTCATGCAGCTTGCTGATCTCATTGGTCTGGACCATTAATTGCTTCTCCAACTTGTTGGTTGAAAGAGAATTTTCCAGCAGCTGGATCTCAAGCCTTGATGTTTGATTCAGAACCTGCCACGGCAAAAAAAATACGGAATACAAAAAATCAATATTATACTTTGTTAGTCCCAGTAATCATAAATCAGCAACAATGTAACAAAATGTAAGATAAACCAAAAGCACTTGAGAAAAAAAACAAAGCACTGTACATTCAAGCCACACATAAATCCCCAGCTTTGTTTTCATTTTGTCAAGCCTACACCTAGAACATGGGAATATGTAGAACATATTTATCTCTACTATGTTGATACTTAAAAAAAAATTGTGAGCAGTTATCGTTTTAGTGCTTTAGTAACCAATGACGTACACAATCTATTGCAATTTGCAGATTATTGCCCATAAAACAATAAAAATGAGCACAGCTTGGGTGAAAACCCATTAGGTGATTCAGTACGTTGAATAAATGAGCTAAAAATGACCCGTGCACTTACTTTTCATCACCTTTTACTCAAAGGTCAACTTTACTCAATTTTCAGTACTCAAAGTACTGAAAGTAATCGATAGGCATTCATACACCATCGTTATTGTCTTTGGCCAGTTTGCTTTTTCTTTTTAAGAAAAAATGTGTAAAATAGTTAGTGAAGCACAGGATATACCTACACAGTGTTATTATAACAATTCACTCAAATATGTAGGCATCTGAAAACATTCGAAAGCATTTTTTAAGCGTTACCTGAGTCTCAACATCAGTGAGTTTGCGTGTTTGTTCAGCAGTCTGAGAGAGGAGGTTGGTTCCCATTTCCAACATGGCTGCAGTGTGGTTGTGGACAGCACTCTGCTGCAGCTGAGCCATCTCTGTTTTCATACTCTCTTTGATGTAGTTCTCAATCTACAGAAAAAAAACAAGGAGGAAGAAGCAACAGATTTACACCCAAAAAAGAAGACAGTGGCATACTGACACTGGTGATTACTGACGGACATCCAGAATATACCATCCACTGTGTATGTGAAGATACACTCATATAAATGAAAAAAAAAATCCCAACATCTTCACCATCCAGGTTTCTTAAGTTTATCTAGAAAAATACACGCATACTTTTTATTTCATATTACTTGAAAGGAACTCGATTGAAGAATGACCTTAGTTCATACAGGTGCACAAACATGCTGGTGGTTAGCTGGTGCCTGAACAGATGAATAGATATTAGCCGAAGCTTGTCTGGATAGAAGTTTTTCCTCCTTATCTCCAAACTAGTCTGTGCTCCATAGCCAAACAAATGACAATAGGGCGGTAAAGGTTTAGGTTCTCCTATAGATTAAATACATAGATCACCTGGATTAAATATAAACTCTGAATTTTGTTATAATCAGGACATTTCATGTTTTCCTTTTGGTTTTTTAAACAGTGAAGACTATAAAGGTATGGATACAGGGTATGGGAATAATAGCAAGTAGCCAGAAATCCACCAAGAAACTTGTGTCCAACTGCGGCCACGCACAACTGGCTAAAATCTACGCACTTGGCTAAAAATCTGTCAGATACAAACAAGGAGAAATTATGCTACATGCTACAATGCACATACTTCACATACAGTTTATATTGGTGGGCATAATATTTTCAGAAGTGACAGAAATATCTTTTTTATCTGTATGTATAATTCAATAGAAAACATTTATCCTGCAACTATTTCCAGTAAATGATTTGTATGCAGATAAAAAATAGACTTTTTTGCTTTCATAGCAAATAAATGAACTGCAATATTTTAATCAATCCAAGACTGATGGATAATAAAAGAGAACCGAGGCGGATCCCTGTTGCTCTTCAGCAGACATTGCCAGTTCTCAGCCATTGGTGTGGCTCTGCCAAGTTGAATTAAGCGTACAATGCAATATCCTCTGTTGGCGACAATATAGAAGTAAAATTAAACATTTTTGCAGGCTGGATTTCAGACATAATATGGCTTCATCTAGCTGTGAACTACACAAGACTGATATAAGTGTCACTTTTCATATAACCTCCAATGGTCTGGCGTCAAGACATGGAAAGAAAACAAGGAGTCTGGAATTTGCAAAGTTCTAATAATGATGGATTATTCTGGCTGATAATGAACCACAGACTATGACTGAGAAAAGGTGATCGGTAAATCTGGAACTCTATGGTTCGTGTGATGATTTCATACAATCATAGACCCCGAGTCTCAGGGCAGTGAGAGGTTTGGCACAGCTTAAGTCATCTCGGAAAAAAAAAAAGGGGTATTGAAGAGACAAATGACAGAAACCTAAGAACAGCTATCACTTCACGGTTTGTCTCAGTGTGGCTGAATCATGGCTGGACCTTGCGAGGGTCATAAGTGGAAAGTACCAAGGAGAAAAGAGATTATACAAACACGCCCATTCATGTAAAATCAGCACTTTGGAAGCTGTAAAATAGGTCTATGTGGGTGTTGGGTTATTTAGATGGTTTCTAACCTCGACTCCAGTTAAATGCAGTGTTTTTTCTTTTACTGACTACCAGCAGAAACTATTGTCGGCAGTAAAAGCAAATAGTTCTTTCCACTGCCGAGCTGAATTTGTGTCACTCAGCAGCAAGATTGGGATAGTGAAAAATGGGTGTATAACGAAAATGCAAAGGTTTTATTCTGCTAAGATAGAAAAAAAAACCAGGGAATTCAAAAAAAATGAATATTCAGCACAAATAATTTGGTTTAAGCCTTCACTCAGTGCTTATTGCTGTTTTAAATGTTCATTCAGTAGTAATGAGTAGTCACAAAGGCCTAGAAAGTGATTCCATGCAACTACCGTTTACTAGGGAAAAATATGTATTCCCTGATGAGTTGGTAAGTAGTTGCTCGAAGTTGCTGGCCTTCACTGGATGAACTCAATCACGAAGAAGGTGCTTAGCATTTACTCTCCAAATGACAGTGAAATTTGAAAAAGTGTAAGTAAAACTGGTGACCGTTTGCCTTCAAAGTCAAAGCTGTGCCTTACCACTGTAACCAACACATTCCAAAAGGTCCAACTTTTACTTTGAAGGTAACGGTCACTTTTTTCAGTTTGTTTGCACTTCTCTCACTACTGCTTGACAAGTACTTTGTGAGTATTTGCAGACAAGTTGGCGTCTTCCAAGCAAACTACTGGCGAACATGGAAACCAGCCAGCAACCCAGCAACCCAGCACGTTTTTTTTGGTGCAGCATCCTATACCTTTTTATCAACTTCCTCCATCAACCACTCAGCATCTTCCTGCACTTCTCCCTAGTAGCTGGTGATTGGCAGAGGGATCACTGATTGGTCTTCCAGCCTGTGTGAATGAGACTTAGCAACTGGTTTCAAAGGAACTGCCACCAACCATTTAGCTGATACTCATTTTACCCTCACAACCAGTGGTTGCAAGATGGTCATCAACTGGTCTCTGTGCCTTTATGAGTGGGGCCTAAGATCTGATATACAGAGCGATCTAAAGAAATCATATTAACATTAAAGTGATTATATTAGCAGGGGCCTTTAAAGTTTTATATACTTTCAAGTGAAAAATATTACTTAAAGCTATGTACCCTTTATAACAGTAACATAGGCAGACTATAGACAAACTTGTTAGCCACATTAAGGTACAGGTCATCTCAGGTCAAAAAGGTTAGTAGAACATATTTGTCTCTCACCAAAACTAATTAGTCCACTTTCATAACTATGACCTTAAGTAACTTCTATTTTCTAATAGTTTAATACTATTAGAGCCTTCTTAATTTCTTCTAGAAATGGCTAAATCTATCATCTCTTTTCAGATAATCATTGTTTGCTAAGTGAGAGTCTCATAAACACAAGTTTATGTTTCCCTAAGTGCTACTTTACAGAAGTATTAAGGTTTTATGGTGGTGTGTTTGGCACAAGCTGACTTCATGTGGCCTGCCTGTGACTTTACTAATTATGCTCCGCTCCATGACATTCATCCTTCAGTGCCTTAAGTGCACTCTGTACCCTTTGCATGCACAGACTGGTCAGAGTAAACAGTTTATGAGGCACAACTGGATGTTAATCACCAAACAGGCTGTTTTGAGCCCTTTAGAATGTAAATGACAGGATAGAGACTTTAAAAGCAACTGTTGCTGATAGAAACGTTCTGAGCAAGCACATTTTCATACCAAGCATAACACGCAAAAAGGTTGGAATGGCATCATGTCAGACATCCAACATACGGATCCTGCAAATAATTATGGCAGATCTACTGAAATACCAATGCTTGAGAGCCAGGCACAGGCTAATCCCTTTAAATGATACTCTCTGTTATGATTACTATTTAAAATAACTTCTGATCTTCTTCTAAACAATTGCAGTAGCAGTGCAAAGAGACACTGTGAAAGTAAGAAACTGCAGGCCTGGACTTTTTAAAATACTTTCCAGTGGAGCTTTGTCACATCTCTGCTTATCTCCAGCTCTTTGTGCATGCAGGGAGGTGATGGTAATGGTGTTACTGGGGCAGCCTGGCTTCTGGGATACATCCCTTTCACTCATGCCTGGATGCATTGCAGGCCACTTTAACAGAGAGGATGGGAGTTATTACTTACCATGATCTACCCCCCGCATCAGCCCCTCCCAATGTATCACAGGCCTTAGACCCAAAGCCAGCAAATAGGCTCCACTTATGCACTCTTATCGTTCACTGACAGCGGAAGGTGAATTTGACACCACTCTTTAAAATCCGGGTCTATAATTCACTCTAGTAGGGCTTTAGAAGGTGCTACCCTGACTTACTGCAGGCCACTTTCTGCAGCTGTATAAAATAGGAGAAACTTCTGCCGTATCTTAAAAACTGTCTAACTCGGTCACTCGATTGTTTGTTTTAAAAGCCACCTTTAAATGGTTTTAGGACCGCTGTCTTAAAGTCTGTCAAGATTAGATGAGTAACAACTCAGACTGAACTCGTAGCTGATCTCTGTGACCTTTGCTCCAGTGGCCAGCATCCAGAGATTTACTCAATTGCTGCCACATTTTTTTGTCCTCTAACAGGATGTCATGTGAGAAAGACTGACATAAAATAAATAAGAAACAAACATAGGCCCAGCATGTCAAAGTAGACAGTTTCATCAGGCAGTTTTAAAAGAGCTGTTTGCTACACCACACCTGTAAATTACTGAATAATATCCAGGCTTATATGCAGTGTTCTGTGACATAATTTTCTGCTGCAGCAAACTTTATTTTAACAAAGTTATCGTTTCCGTGGACTGTTGTAAACTTGCATGAAGAATCTACAACTACAACAAAAAACTACAACTGGAAACTCAACAACACTGTAGTTTGATCCTATTTAGTTCAACTTGTAGATAAGCGCTCTAACAATATAATGAAAGTTAACAACTTCCAGAGTGCTCACTCATCTACTTCCTGACAGACATATCAGCTAGCTGCAACCACACAAACCCATCCATTGCATAAGATGAGTTGTCATGTTTACTGAACAAATGCTTGGGGTATATGGTAAATCTTATTAACTTTTTGAATCAAAGTTTTTTGCTTGCAGAGAGCTGGAAGTTTCTACGTGTTGCTTGTGTGGTTCGTACTTGCGTTGGTGTAGCGAATCACTAACTGAGTCGTTAACTGTGTCACTCCCTCCGCTCTGGCTCACACAGACTATTTAGGTCTTGCAGTCACGTACCCGCTAACTATGTGATGTCAACTTGTCTGCCATTTTGAACGTGTTGCAACATTGGATCAAGTGAATAAGGCTTCAGTCAGAAAGGATGAGAGAACGGCCCAATATCATATTGCAACAACCAGTCAAGTTAATGGGTATTCTGACCAGTTGGTGATTGCTGGAGGTTGTTGCAGTCATTCTGATATTCATTCCAGAAGCAACAGTCACACAGCCCTATAGATTGGTCAGTGACCCCCGTAG